CTTATGACCCGTTTCGGGTTTGCGCTTTGCGCAATCACCCTAGTTGCACGCACACATCTCACACTTACACAAAAGAGTTAAATACACGATTTTCACGAGGTTTTTTGGACGCAAGGTCTTTTTCCTCGGGGTTTACACCCAAAACTATTGTTGTTTTTATTTTAATGACACCTGTCCTTTTTTTACATGAACAACGTTACTCAGACACGAGGTTTGAGTTTCGACGCCTCAACAGATGGTCTTTTGAAGATGCACAAAGGATAGTCCAAACTCCACCAAGTTCACATTGCTGCAGGTAGATGATCATAGTCTTAGAGCTTCATTTATCCAACTGAAGTATAAACATTGTCAGTCTGTTCCTAAATGAACCAACAAACGAATTGACTGTAAAATGCATTGGAAATAGACTAGGACCCAAGTGGACTTAGGTAGATGCATGTGAACAGTCAAATCGTTCACATTGATGCAGGTAGATGATCATAGTCTTAGAGCTTCATTTACCCAACTGAAATATAAACATTGTCAGTCAGTTCCTAAATGAACCAACAAACGAATTGACTGTAAAATGCATTGGAGGCAGACTAGGATCCAAGTGGACTTAGGTAGATGCATGTGAATAGTCGTTCACATTGATGCAGGGAGATGATCATAGTCTTACAGCTTCACTTACCCAACTGAAATATGAACATTGTCGATCTGTTCCTAAATGAACCAACAGACGAATTGACTGTAAAATGCATTGGAAGCAGACTAGGACCCAAGTGGACTTAGGTAGATGCATGTGAATAGTCATCGTTCACATTGATGCAGGTAGATGATCATAGTCTTAGAGCTTCATTTACCTAACTGAAGTATAAACATTGTCAGTCTGTTCCTAAATGAAGAAACAAACGAATTGACTGTAAAATGCATTGGAAACAGACTAGGACCCAAGTGGACTTAGGTAGATGCATGTGAATAGTCATCGTTCACATTGATGCAGGTAGATGACCATAATGTCAGAGCTTTACTTACCCAACTGTAATATAAATATTGTCAATCGAGTCCTAAATGAACCAACAAACGATGAACTAACTGTAAAATATATTGGAAATAGACTAAGATCCAAGTGGACTTGGGTGAATACTAAGTGTGTGGATAGTCGAACCAAACTCCACTAAACCGTTCACATTGATGCAGGTGTATGACCATAATCTTAGAGATCCATTCACCCAACTATAAACCTTGCACTCCAATTGCTTCTAAACGAATCAACAAACAATGAACTACACAATAACCGTCTTTTAAGCAATAATTAAGAATATGGAAAATTAAGAACAAATCCAAGTCGAAAACACGATGATACGTGTAAAAGGTCCGTTAACATTGTTACCGTTCTCCCGGTCAAAACATGACGAGGTTTAACTGCGCGGTGTGTAAACAGTTGGCCGAACTGTTTACAGACTGACATTTAGCGAAAAGATTTCTGCGATGTTAACGATTCCATATGAGAATTTTCTTTTAAAATTCTGCGAACATCGAACGTGATTACATGCGGGGTCTTCTGGTGTCATTGAAGAATATAGAACTTCGGGTATAGCCAAACCATACACAATATTTATAGATTCTCTAAGCCTGGTTCGATTACAGTTTGAATCGAAACGACAGCTTCCTGTGCCAAATCAAACTTCGACCACTGTGTGCGCGGAATTCTTTACCCTCGACATACTTACGGTGGCTCTAGCAAATTTATGCATAAATAAACGGATTAGAACTGGAATATTTGCCTAAGTTCTGTAGTCTATTTGATGCTAAGTTTTTAGTTCTTGTCTGAAAGAAATGTGCGTTGCACCCGAGTGTACGGTGGAATTATTCTTTAAAATTAGAAGGGAAACGAAGGGGTCAAGCGAGGATAGACACAGTCCTGCATGCCATTCGCTCGTTAAGTCTCTTACGGTTCGGGTTACGTAACGAGCTTGAAATCTGACATAATACTCGGCTCGTACCCGCCTCGAACTTTTACTATCCGCTCGGTGGACAAGCTTGGGAAATTCTAGAACGCAGTCTCCGTTAATTAGACGTCCACGTTGGAAAACTGGTCGATCTTCCCGCGGTAATCGACGCGGAATAACGGGTTCACTGAAATTGTTTAACGAAACGCCTTTATACGATTTGCATTGAAAGAAGAAGAGAGACAATTAATTCTTTTGATGGGTATGCAAAAATGCTTGAATGAATAAACACAGATCACTGTACCCTTCACCTTTGTATGTATAAACGAGCACTGTTGGCAATTATACCACGACAAAAAAAAAACTGAATCACGATCAACGAAGAAAACGAAGGTTTTGCAGAATGTTTTCAACCAGCGAAATCGAGGTCGATACGATCGAGGTTACACGATGACCAGCCTCGAACCAAGGAAGTCGTTGTTGAACGTTGATTGCGAAGACGCTAATAAATGAAGTCGATTGAACTATCGCGTTGATATCGTGCGAAATACCGATGAAAAACAACGGTATTTTTTGTGGCTATGTAGGATCCGATAAAATTGTTGTTTATGGAAAAATTCGGACGAAATATGAAATTAAATTGTTAGTTAAAATTTCTCTAGCTGACTCAGGGGGTCAAGGTGCAAAACATTCGATACACCGATTTCTCAACGGCTCGCGAAGCCTTATGTAATAACATAACCGCTCGATTGCAGTAATTCACCTTGCTTTATATCTACGATACGTTAAAAGTGCTCGCTTGCAGAATCCCAGCTAATAGAACGAAGAAACGAAATATCCCAGAAAACTCGATCAGATAAATTCTCTTCAAACAGAATTCCTTAACCTACAATTTTCTAAACACTTGCGTCATGCACATCTAATTATTCCTACAGACTGAAGACAGATAAGGAGAATTAAAAAGTTAAGTACTTTCGGTATTCAAAGACCCTTGATTACGAAGACTAGCATTAGAATATGAGTGCGTCAGGAGTGCGTCATAAGTGTGGTTTATCACTTATGAACTGTAGGGTGCGTTAGGAGTGCGTCAGGAGTGTGGTTTATCACGCATGAACTGTAAGGTGCGTCATGAGTGCGTCAAGAGTAGGTCACGAATGCATTCTCAGTGCGTCAAGAGTGCGTCACGAATGCATTCTCAGTGCGTCAAGAGTGCGTCACGAATGCGAGCTCAGTGCGTCGAGATCTCACGAATGCGTTCTCAGTGCGTCAGGAGTGCGTTCTGTGTGCGTCAGAAGTGCGTCACGAATGGGAGCTCAGTGCGTCAAGAGTGTGTCGCGAATGCGTTCTCAGTGCGTCAAGAGTGCGTCGCGAATGCGAGCTCAGTGCGTCAAGAGTGCGTCACGAATGCGGTCTCAGTGCGTCAAGAGTGCGTCACGCATGCGAGCTCAGTGCGTCAGGAGTGCGTCACGAATGCGAGCTCAGTGCGTCAAGAGTGCATCACGAATGCATTCTCAGTGCGTCAGGAGTGCGTCGCGAATGCGAGCTCAGTGCGTCAAGAGTGCGTCACGCATGCGAGCTCAGTGCGTCAAGAGTGTGTCACGAATACATTCTCAGTGCGTCAGTAGTGCGTCACGAATGCATTATGAGTGCGTCACGAATACATTCTCAGTGCGTCAGGAGTGCGTCACGATCCAACAAGGACTTAAAAACCGATTTCTATGACCAAATGTAACTAGCGAATAGAATAGTAGATAATTGTAGGTATTTCGTTAAATAACAGAGAATAATGTTTGGTACGTGGAGAACGTCTTTCGTCGAAAGAAGGACCTTCTCCGTTCCCCTTGGCCGATTTTGTCCGACGATCGAACAAACCACGATGCCCTTGCGAAATTGTCGGGCCGCGGGTTCGCGTTACACTTTATTATCGTTCTTCGTCTCTATTCCGCGATGCAGCTTCGATACCTCCTCCTCGGCCATGCTCCGTGCTCTCGGTCTGCTCCAGAAACCTACTTTTTCGAGTCACCGGTGGCAATGCCAGCCTCCGTTTTCTCGGTTATCTTTCTCGCGTGTCAGCTCTCTGTGTTACGTGAACTGCTTTTGCGTTCAACCGGCAACAATAATATTTTCTTCGTTTCGATCGAATCGGTGCTCGAATTACCTTGCCAGGCAATTTGAAGATTCGATCAAAATTTGCAATAGGAACAAGGACAGAATTCTATTACCTTCTCCGTAATAGTCGAAATGTACATTTTTCATTCTGAGGAGCATTTCGGAATTTCTTTGGATCCATTCAAGCCGGTCTAACACAGAAAAAGATTCTTTTCGATTCGTCCTGTTCTCATTGCGAAGACAGCAAGTAGGCCAGCTCGGATCTCGCGTCGCTTTTGTCTCGCAGCCGCTCCTTCTCGCTATTTCTGGACCGGCCTTTTTGTTTATTCCTTTTCCTTTGCGACTCCGTCAACCCTTGGGACTCGCACCCCAGAAATTCGCGACGAACTTAAGGAGGACACCTTGACGAACACGGGCCAATTTGGGAGTCGGAATTAGGCGGAATGCGTTACTCTTCTCGTCTGTCTTCTCCATCCTTAATACTTACGGCACTTTCAGGATTAACTGTAAACTGTACTTATACAGTACATATAAACAATTATTATTTATACTTATTATTATTCCATTACAGTTATGTGGTATATAATATTATCCACTTTTGAATGAAGCTATGAGTCTTGGACTTCTTCATTTTAGTAAAAATATACATTTGTCCTCTTCCATTTTGGACAGTGATAATTGCTTCCTATATTACAAATTTATTGAAGGAAAATATGTTACAAATTTATTGAAAGAAAATATATTACAAATTTGTTGAAGGAAAATATATTACAAATTTATTGAAAGAAAATATATTACAAATTTATTGAAGGAAAATATATTACAAACTTATAAAAAAAAAATATTTTACAAATTTATTGAAGGAAAATATATTACAAATTTATAAAAAAAAAATATGTTACAAATTTATTGAAGGAAAATATATTACAAATTCATAAAAAAAAAATATATTAGAAATTTATGAAAAGAAATATATTATAAATTTGTTGTGTAATATTCCTAATTTGCAACATTGTAGCCTGAAGTAGAAATGGTAGCATAACAGTGAGTTCAGAGATATATTCATGCGGGATTTGGTTACCGGTGGGAATCTTGTTCGATTTCTCATCGCTTCGTTATGCGTTACGCAAACCCGGCTTCATCCTGTTTCGTGTAACCGATGTAACGTTGTTACCGTTATTTGGACCAACAATGTCAACCGATTCGTCTCTTTAACGCCGGGGAAATGTGGTACATTGAACGGTACCATTCGAGCGAGTGCCATTCGAACTGCGCTCGAGACTTTCTGTTGCTGGTATAATTTCAAGCGTGATAAAATTACTCCTCTGTTCAAACATATAAACATTTTTAATCATTTATTCCAAGATATTTTTAACTCCTACTTTATAATTAAAAAGATAATTGACGAAGACGAAAGAACGCTAAAAAGGGTAAAAACAGTTTCTAGTTAGTACGTGCACGTGCATAGAAACGCATGTTTACATGGTTAATGAGAGAAAAATATTGCGTTACGTTGTTGCACAATGTTGAAACGAGCTGATACGCGCAAAACGCGAGCCTCGCGTAATGAATCTTTGCTCCTATAAATAGGCATGTATCAAACTGTTCGTATTTCTCGACACACTTTAAACGTGCAACTCTGAAAAATCTATCTTTAAAAAATATTCATTTTACTCCATTTTGTACGTTGGAACTTTATATTCGATATTTCTTTTCCTACAGAAAAATCTCCTAAAGATTAAAAATTAAACAATTATTTAAAGATTTAATATTAAACAATGTTGCAGAAAGTTACATAACAGACAAAAACCTTCGATTCGTTAGAACTCTTGCATTCCGTTAATACAGAAAGAAGCGAGCAAGTCGAAAAGAAAGAGCGAGTAGAAAAAACGAGTGTAGATTGAACGTGGCGCGGTACGACTCGGGTACGCTCGGCCACGTTCGGTCGGAGTCGGCCCGCGCCGGCGCTTATGTAACAGTCGCGCGCCCCGTACACGTGCTCGCTACCACGTGGACACCGGTCACGTTAAGCTGGCGATACCTCTGAAAATGGAATTATTCTTACGTAGTTACCCCGTAACCACGGTGGCCGGCACGTGAACATCATTTTCGGATCCACAGAAATAAATTTTTATATTTTTGCATCTTCGTAATCCTTTGTTAACGTCATTCTTTGTATTTCTGTACTCTGTGGAAGATTCCCTTTGACCATAACATGGATTTCGTAACGGGTGATAAGTAGGAAGGCCAAGTGCCTACAGTGGAAAAATATAACCTAAGATTTTAAGATTAGAGAATTTGAGAAAAATTCCTCTGAGAAGAATTTGAGAGAAATTGTAGTTCAGTTGTGAATTAATGTAAATGGAGAATTTCGTGAAGATCATTGACCTAATCGAACAAGTTGAAACGCGAAGTCGATGACGAAACGAGATCGAGAGAAATGCTGGTGTTCGATTGCGTTCGCAGGAGGCGAATAAGGGGCAAAGGAATGATATATTATACGGCGCAACTAAGACGATAATTATATGCTGGACGCGTTGCCATTATCTAACCGCAAACTACACTCCCACCTAGATTCCAAACAATGTGACTGGACGGGGACCTTTAACAGAGTTATCTTGCCCAACGCAGCTGCTCGAGCGTGTCGTAACCGACGGTGCAACGAGCTAAATTGTCGTTAACGGTAAATTATGGTGGCAAGAAACGCTGTTCGAGGATCTACGATCGATTCGTTGTCCTCGTAACATCGTTCGTCAAATTCAAACGGTTAACTGGATCGAGTTATTTGATCTCCCTGAAACGTGTGACACAAAAATAACCTTTGAGTTCATCTGTTGGATGTTTTATTTTTCGCCTTACAATGTCTTCCATTTTTATTTACTTCTCGCTTGTAGCTAACTCTCTTACAATTATAAGAACCGCTAAAAAATGTTATAGGTATAAAATCATTTAGGTTAGGGTTTAAAAATCGACGAAATAAGTGACCGCTTATCGGCGTATAGAGAGTAACAAATAATAAATAATATTATATAAATTATAAAGTAAACTAGACCTAAGCTTTCGTTTTACGGCGTTGCTTGCTTGTCGCGTAGTTGCAACACTCTTCGCTGCTGTAGGATTCCGAGCAGTCGCAGTCGGAACACGTGCACGGCGACAACGAACGTCCTGAAACGATCCAAATTATCCTTCCTTGAAGAAAACACTAAAATATCGCTAATACATAATCTTGAAGATCTTAGATCTTCAATATTTCACCTTAGTTTCAGTGTCAAGATAAGTAAGAAGAGTATTTACTTTTACTTCGGCGAGATGTCTTCTTTTTGGACGTCCGCGAACTGCAAGTGTTTCTACCCGACTTCGATCGTACGTTTCGTTTTTTCGACTTTCCTTTGCCTCTTCGTCTCTGTGGCGTACTATCACAGTCATAACATTCGCAGTCCGAACACTCGCAGCTATCAGAATAGTCTGATGTATAGGAGGATTCTGAAGAGCTGGAGATCGAGCTGGTGCTCTCGGAACGACGTCGCCCACCCCCGCAACAAGAAGGCGATTTCCTTGGCGCCTTCTTGGATACTGATTTCCTGCAACTGTGACCAAAATTCTATCAATTAGATCTACACATTTTGTATACACAGAAATATTCGAATTCATAACTGTCGCGGTGTGAACACAAACAGTTTGCGCATAAGCTTGTTTTTTTTTTTAAGTAGGACATGTATCAAATTTCTTTGAATCACTTATTTAAAAATCTTAGTACTCGATTTCTTGTGAATCTTAAGAAAATTATGAAATGCTTACCTCATTTTGTAGCGATTTCTAAACTTTGTTCCTAGTTTCGAAATCCCGTCGATTGAAATCCTTTTTTGTACGAATACCTTCTTCACCTTCGTTCAGTTTAATTAGTTAAATGCCACCAGTAGAATTAGTAACAAAAAGAAGATTTCAACAGTTGCTAAGCACTAACGTTCTCGTCCTCTGTTCGGACACGAATGTTCGCTACGACAAACACATTTCTTGCTTATATACACTGTATACCTCTTCAAATTTGTATCGTACGGAGTTTCAAATACGATCGTTGAAATATAAACACGTATACGTTAGGAAAAGAATAAGACAACAGTTCTACAGAGTTTGTAAAATCGGTTTATTAACTAAGAGCATTGTTATTGGATAAATAATTGAAAGCAGCAGTTAATTGCTCGTGACGGTTAACCGAAGTCGCGATGAAAAGGTGCAGACCAGGTTGCAGCTTGTTATGCAAGTCGAACGTTGACGCAATTCTGATCTAATCTGAACGCGATCGTGGTGCCGATCCTTGGGAAAACTTGAATTGCACGCTTTATTTATTGCTTGTAGAGGCAATCGAAAGGGCGCATTGCTCCTTTATTCAAAACGGGAACATCTATACTTTCTTTAGCTAACTTATAGGGAGACTACTTTAGCTTGAACTTTATTTTGTTGCCTAACTCTCCAGAAGGAATTCCTTTTAGGGACGTAGGAATGGAGCGTTTGTGGAGCGAATGTGGAGCGTTTGGAGATGGGGAGATTTGGGGATTATTTGGGTTTGGAGGTGTGGAGATTATGGTGTGTGGATTTGGAGATGTGGGGGATCTGGAAATGGAGGGATCTGGGATTATTTGGATTTGGGGACGTGGAGATTATGGTATGTGGATTTGGGGATATGGAGATTATGGTATATGTGGGTTTGGGGATGTGGAGATTATGGTGTATGTGGATTTGGAGATGTGGGGGATCTGGAGATAGAGGGATCTGGGATTATTTGGATTTGGGGACGTGGAGATTATGGTATGTGGATTTGGGGATGTGGAGATTATGGTGTATGTGGATTTGGAGATGTGGAGATTATGGGGGACGTGGAGATTATGGTATGTGAATTATGGTATGTGGAGATTATGGCATATGTGGATCTGGGGATGTGGAGATTATGGCATACGTGGATTTGGGGATGTGGAGATTATGGTGTATGTGGATTTGGAGATGTGGGGGATCTGGAGATAGAGGGATCTGGGATTATTTGGATTTGGGGACGTGGAGATTATGGTATGTGGATTTGGGGATGTGGAGATTATGGTGTATGTGGATTTGGAGATGTGGGAGATCTGGAGATAGAGGGATCTGGGATTATTTGGATTTGGGGACGTGGAGAATATGGTATGTGGATTTGGGGATGTAGAGATTATGGCATATGTGGATTTGGGGATGTGGAGATAATGGTATGTGGATTTGGGGATGTAGAGATCACGGTATGTGGATTTGGAGACTTTAGAGTGTACAAAAAATGCAAGTCTAGGAACATATCCACGTCCCTAAGACATAGCTATCTGCAAATGTAGCAATCCAGGAATCTAGAACCGTACTTACACACCTACAGCCCTAAGATACAGACCTATCTCCCTAATCTGCCTATAGCAATCTACCTATCCATAAACGCACTCATCCACATCTACACCCCAAACTGCACAAATTCGTAAATCCAAAAATTTGAGAACACGCATCAGCAAATAACAAACACACTGTATTACACTGTACATCACACTGTAGATTGTATGTACCATTAAGGGTTAATAAAGGAAACAGTATATTTTTCTTTCCCTTAATGTCAGCCGAAGGGAGTCAAATTCGATAATCCAACACGATCGCAAAGAGAAAGGGAGACCCAAATAGTAAGATTAATTTTGTCCCGAGATTAGAGGGGTGGTTTCAGCTCCTCAAGGCACGTAAACGAGGGTGCTACAGCTTTATGGGACCCCGTGGAACAAGGTTGAAACGTGACTCAGCAACTGAGGATGACGTAAGAAAATAGGGAAGTGTAAGAGGGCAGAGAACCCTAATCTCTTTCTATTTCGAGCTGTGCACCTATTAGGTACACCCTTAAAATCAGTTCCACCCTTAGGACATGGAAAAGAAATTGAACTATTAAGAAGCTATGCAATTTATGGTTCAAAATGTTTAAGGAACCGTACAGCAAATATTTGGAGTTTGGAATATTGCAAAATTTGCACGGATAATTTCGCTATTAAAGAAAATGGAAGTTTGGTAATGGAACTCCTTGATAACTCACGGAACACAGCACTGAATGCCCATATCGCTAATTATAATCGAAAGCATCGCGTCGCGACGCCCATTCACGCTGTCATTGACAGACGCCACCGCTTTGTCTAGCGTTTCGACGTCGATTCGCGTGACAGATTGAGGATCGATGCGACAATAGGTCTTGCATCGTATATTTCCATTGTCTCGTTAATCTGTCTCGTTAATTCCATTGTACCTGCTCTCGAACGGTGATTTCTTCCGCGATTCACGACTCGGTTTTAACAGCAGAGAATCGTACGTTGCTCGGTGTATTTACCGCTTTACTATCGACTTGTCATTACCATTGTAATTACTGTATCGTTTTAAAAAGTACGTCTACTAATACAGTCAGCCAGTTGCTACAAATAAATTCAGTTTACAAATATTTATACATTATGTATTTTATCTTCTGTTATAAAATTTCTTTTTGTTTAAAGATTCTTTCGATACCTTGAATTTCAAAGTTCTTAATTGATATGGATAGATATGTGATACAGCTACACTTATTTCTGTACGGTAGTCAAATATCGTATTATTACACAGTGGTTAATTTGAAGAACTACCGTCCTAATGATATTTGCAGGCGGTTTACTTTAAGTATCACTGGCGCCACCTGGTGGTAAGTCCACGAATTAAAGTGGCAGGTCGTTATTTATTCTTGAAATGAGGGATGTCAATGCCTTGCTAGCTTAGTTAAAGTGTTTTGCCATCATAATTCCAATAGAATATGGTGATACTAGTTTATTTGTGGCATTAAATCGATTATTGAAGAGGATGCACTTTGTGGGCAAATAAACGCTAGAGGCACCTAGCGGTAGACTGTCGAACTAACAGAACTACCCCTCCCTTCTAGCAATATTTGACTTCTTCAATTCATCAAAGCTTAATTTGTAAGAGACTTTACAACATAAACGACATAAAGCCTCAACTCCTATAAAAAATGTAGGGTTAAGTCCTGCTTTAAAAGAGCCTCCTTCAGAATTTTGTGGAGATCCACATACACCCATATACCTTTACAAATTATCCAAAGTAACAGAGTTAAAATTCAAAATACTTGAACCCGTCCGCTACAAAGAGTCTGCCCAACAAGATCATATACCTCCCTAAGTTCATATACTCCCTAAGTTCATCCCCAACAAACTTCGATCGAACCCAGTTCGATCGTTCATTAAAGTCTCGTGCCATTCACTTTCATTTAGTCGGGGTGGATGGACGATGTGTCGTGCGACGGGGTGGCTAAGGGTGTCCGAACAGGGTTGCGCAGCCGCGGTGACCGTTGTCCAGGTAGATCGCGGATTATCCTTCGCTTGGTCGCAAGTAGTTGTGAGAAGTCGAAGTCTAAGGAGTTGTGGTCGTCGTTGAAACTGGTCGAAACAATAGGCAAAATACGGGGTTCACGAGTCGCTAACGGGGAGTACAGTAAGTATTTTTTTTTTAATTGAAATGTTCCCTGAAGTGGGGTCATTGAACTCGGAAATGGTTCCCGTTTTACTGGTTCTGTAAATTAAATTTTATCTAGATGTTACTGATTATGTAGATACTACTGATTATCTAGATGTTACTGATTATATAGGTTTTACTGATTATCTAGATATTACTGAATTATTCCTAAAGGATACTCTTTTGAGCCACTTACACTAATTTTCTTATTTTTAATTTGAAAGGACTTGACTGTATTTGAAGTACTCTTAACAATAGGTACCTTAGCAATATCTGAACCTTCCAAAAAGAGAAATAAAACAAAATTTCATGTCTGTTTATTTAAACCGTAAACAGGAAAGATCCGTTCCGCTATCGGAAGTGTTCCCTCGATCGATAAGTTCCAACGATTTCCTGTCGCTCTGGGACTTCGTTAAGAATTTATCTTTTAGCATCTACTTCCTTATCTTTAGCCATACTTCATTTTATATGCGTAAACTTCATTCCAGTACCGTCAGAAATTATTTTAGCTAACTCTTAAGTTAGCTAACTCAAAGTTCCAAAATAGAATTGGTGGCCCCACCAAGAATAATAAAATCGCGTGTAAGTAGAGTCGCACTTGAATCGATACGACGATTATGACGTTCCGTGGTACCCTAAGCACGCAGTTTTCCGTAACCCGTTGACATAGAAGTCTAGAGACCAGAATTCGGAGTGAACGATTGAAAGGTTAAAGCTTGGTCCGCAACAAGTCGGCCGTGTTCGAGGTCGTCCGTTTGATCCTGGCATTGGCACCAGTCTCTAGAAGATGCTCTATTATTCAAACAGCGTCAATCAATGAAGTTTATGGATCGCGTAGTAGCAGTAATATCGTTTCCCGATGGTGACCATACATAAGTACTGCTCGTGTAGTACATAATCAACTGGCGGCGATTCGAGACGTCGAGCGATGTTCGCGCGTTTCGTAAGCGCGTTCAGATCTCTGCCAAAGTGTAGTTTCAAACTTCCAGGGATGGAGAAGCCCGAGTCCTCCATGGGCGAGGAGAGCAACGTCGAGCTCGAGGACAGGGATCCCAACAGCCTCAACACCCACCTGCAGGTGCTCGATACTATTTTTACTCGAGACCATTCTATAAGTTAGAGTTCAGTAGTTTGCTTACTAACAAGAATTTTCATGGAGACGTAACGAAAAATTTCATGAAGTTGTTGCAAAGTAGTGTGATCGATACATGACTACTCTCTGACAACACAGGTGATGTGGGATGACGTGATCGGAGAACCGGAAGGAATACGGAGTCCCGAGTGCGCGTGGCGTCTGAGCGGACACTGCTTCAGATTGTCGAGAAGTTGTTGTTACGTCTTGCTTTCCGTTCTCGTCGCCCCGTTGCTCGCCCTTTGTTTCGGTTTCACCTTTGCCTGCCTCGCGTTTCAGGTGAGTCAGATCCCCATGAAACCCCCTATCTCATTATGGTGTAAGTGTCTCTGCAAGTCCCTGTAACTGACTCTGCAAGTGCCTGTAATTGTCTCTGCAAATCTCTGCAAATGTCCTGCAAGTTTCTGTAACTGTCCCTGCAGGTGTCTCTAATTGTCCCTGCAAGTCTCTGTAATTGTCCCTACAAGTGCCTGTAAATGTCCCTGCAAGTGTCTGTAGTTGTCCCTGCAGGTGCCTGCAATTGTCCTTGCAAGTTCCTGTAACTGTCCCTGCAGGTGTCTCTAATTGTCCCTGCAAGTCTCTGTAATTGTCCCTGCAAGTGCCTGTAAATGTCCCTGCAAGTGTCTGTAGTTGTCCCTGCAGGTGCTTCTAATTGTCCCTGCAGGTGCCTCTAATTGTCCTTGCAAGTGCCTCTAATTGTCCCTGCAAGTACCTATCCAAAAATGATGAAAGAATCTAATGCATCCAAAAGTAAAAGTGGCTACCTATCCATAATGATAGAGATAACTATAAATAAGTGTTAGTCCTAAATAAGATGAGCTAAGAACCAAAACTTTGCAGCACATATGGTGTCTAGCGCCCTGCCTACGTGTTTGGAAGATCACGTTCGCTGCTGCGAGGAACTTCTTCACCACGGTGACACAAGCCATCATACGACCAGTCATGGACTCCCTTGGCTACCTGTTCCACAACATCCGCGTAATGAATCAGAAACTACCTGAAGGTCCTGCAGAGAAGGACGACATCCTCGTGGTGTAGACTCCACAATCTATTAATTATCAAAGTGCCTTTCGACGATCATTGAAATATTTGATTAAAAACTCTTCTTGAGAGTTTTTCAAGTTCTAAAGAACATTTCTGGAATTTTAACTATTAATAGTGACAGATCGTTGATCTTTGGATCATTGATATATCTATTGTTATGTTTTGTAAATAAAAAGTGTGTCTATGCAAGTACGTCTTTGAGAAATTTGGGAATGTATTCTTTATTTGATAATTTAGGTAAATATCAAGGGATTTAAATTGTAGGTTTAAGAATTCTTTATATTGTGGTATTTGGTGAATTCAAATTTTCCGCCAATCGCTCGTCATCAAGGTTGAGACTATTTTGCAATCGAATATCAAATAGATAGCGAGCCCATTGATAAAGACTGAAGGAAACAAAAATAAACATAAACAACCTAACCGAAACTCCGATAAGATGCGCCTCCTAATTATTAAAGTCAGTTTTCTGCCAGCTGTGAACATGGCGGCACTCACATGGAAGATTCTTCCGCGATGTGATCGATTACACCATGGATTTTCTTTGAGACGTATCCTTTCGTTATGGCGTTAACTCTTGAAAGAGACAAACTTTCAATCCTTCATTTCTTTTTAATCAATACATTTCTTTCTATAGTTAGCAGACTTCCTTGTAGAGTCATAAATTGTTCTCTGTTCTGATTATACCGTACTTAATTGGCGTTTGAACTGTCAGATATCTCGAGTACGTCTTCACTCAGAGGCAAGCGTAAGTTACTTTAATTTATTTAACAATATTCGATCAACAGCTGCTCACTGATTACTGCTAGTTTCCCGCTAGGTGGCAGCACATGTCTGCTTTCGTTCAGCGCGGTAATTCGAATAGCTTAAGGGAAAATAATACAAGACTTAGATCGAATCGATTTTGAAAAGAATTACAATTACACTGTCCCTCTTATTCACATTCTAAATGATTCTAATCCTGAATAAATTGAGCTCTTGAATCTCTTAAAGTCTTCATACCATTTACCTTTGTTCAAAATTAACCCAGCAACCCTACACACCTAATTTAAATTTGAACACCACAGCCACCTTCAACTGGGAGGACCCCTTTGACCTCGAGTCCCAGCTCACGCAGGACGAAATTCTGATCAGGGATCAATTCCGCTCCTACTGTCGGGAGAGATTACTGCCACGCGTAATAGAAGCCAATCGCAAGGAGATCTTCCACAAGGAGATCATGAGAGAGATGGGACAGTTAGGTGTTCTGGGTTGCACCATGAAGGGCTACGGAGCTGCGGGTGTCTCCTCCGTAGCCTACGGACTCCTGGCCAAGGAGGTCGAGTACGTGGACAGTGGATACAGGTCTGCCATGTCGGTCCAGTCCTCCCTGGCTGCTGGCGCCATCTATGCTCACGGGAGCGAGTCTCAGAAGGAACGATTCTTACCTAAGCTGGGTACGTTCACAAATGAAATCTTGGCCAGCTGGATCATCGTAATTACGTTACAGTTTCTGGAGAACTGATCGGTTGCTTTGGACTGACCGAGCCTAACCATGGCAGCGACATCGGGTCCATGGAGAGTAGGGCTACTTACGATTCTGAGAAGAAGACTTACAGGCTGAATGGAAGCAAAACATGGTCAGTTGAGACCTGGAGTTCTGAAAGATCTGCAAGTTTAAACGATAGCTTCAATTTGACACTTGTAATTAGTTGACATGAATCATCCCTTGAGTCAGGATCACAAACGCCCCCATCGCGGACGTGCTGATCGTCTGGGCCAGATGCGAGGACGACGTGATTCGAGGGTTCATCGTCGAAAGGCCAGGCAACGAGAACCGACTCTCCACGCCAAAGATAGAAGGCAAGATGTCACTGAGAGCGTCCATCACCGGTATGATCCTGATGGACAACGTAGAGGTGCCCGAGGAGAACATGTTGCCAAAGGCTCAGGGTCTCAGAGTAAGATCTCAAGATTTCCTATCCACATTTGGAAGTCTAACAAAGACCTAATGCTGCAGGGACCATTCACCTGCTTGAACAATGCTCGATACGGAATCGCGTGGGGTGCACTAGGCGCTGCTGAGTCCTGTCTGAACACCGCCAGGTCGTACGTCCTGGATAGGAAACAGTTTAACAGACCTTTGGCCGCTAATCAGTTGGTGCAGAAGAAGCTGGCTGACATGATGTGCGAAATCGCGATGGGACTTCAGGCCTGCTTGAGGGTGGGCAGGCTGAAGGACGAGGGCAGGTACGCTAGGGATGTAATTCGTTTATGATGGTAACTTGAAACTAGGGATATCTAAGATATACAGAATACAGCTGGTTGAGAAGGTTGAAAGGTTGAGTAGGTTGAAAGGTTGACCAGGTTGAAAGGTTGACCAGGTTGAAAGATTGACAAGGTTGAAAGGGTGACTAGGTTGAAAGGTTGACCAGGTTGAAAGGTTGACAGGGTTGCAAGGTTGACCAGGTTGAAAGGGTGACCAGGCTGAAAGGTTGGCAAGGTTGAAAGGTTGACAGGGTTGCAAGGTTGACCAGGTTGAAAAGTTGACCAGGTTGAAAGGTTGACCAGGTTGAGTGGTTGACCAGGTTGAGTGGTTGACCAGGTTGAATGGTTGACCAGGTTGAAAGATTAACAAGGTTGAAAGGGTAACCAGGTTGAAAGGTTGGCAAAGTTGCAAGGTTAACCAGGTTGAATGGTTGACCAGATTGAAAGGTTGACAGGGTTGCAAGGTTGACCAGGTTGAAAGGGTAACCAGGTTGAAAGGTTGACAAGGGTTGAAAGGTTGACCAGGTTGAAGTTATTGCCTGACTTCTGACTTGATAGATATCAGTCCAAATGCATTTAACGTCGAATCTGCTGGGTATTTCAACTTGTTTATCTGTTAGGATTGCTCCGGAGATGATCTCGATAATAAAGAAGAACTCTGCCAGCAAGGCTCTTGAAATCGCAAGGGTAGCCAGGGACATGTTGGGTGGCAATGGAATATCGGACGAGTACCACATAATCAGACACGTGATGAACCTAGAGAGCGTCATCACCTACGAAGGTACCTATGAAGGTTAGGTTACAGTAAGCAAAACTAACACTGTCTGTTGTAGGTACAAACGATGTCCATGCTCTGATTCTGGGCAGGGCGATCACTGGCATACCAGCGTTCTCTGGATAGATAGATTAATTGTTAATAAGCTCATCTTCACAACGTGTTTATACAATATTTTAATAAACGTTTCTTAACCGTTGACTTAAATTTGGAAAGGTCCCAGTTTGAAAGCAAACCCGAATTAAAAGTTCGGGTCAGGGCGTAGCACAACACAAGCGACTCGGATTAATCATAAATAAATTAAGTTTAATTGCTAAGTAATAAAACGTTAATTACATATGTCAATGATAATTAATTTAAGTACAACACACGTCTCGTGCAAAAGTGTAAAGAAGTTTCTTTTTCGTGCTACACTCAATTACCATTTTTTTGTGATTTTTTTTTTAAATACTTTTTTCTGTTTGGTTTGTTGTTTGGTTTGGTTTTGCCTCTCGTCGACGATCAACACTCGCCTCACTTTTTTTCCCTCCGTGTGTTCTCGCGTGTGTATCAAGTGTGTGTCTGTGTTCTATATGCTTTTTCATCTTCATTAATTGTTTTCTCTGTCACGTTCTCGAATTTCATTTTTAAATGGTTCTCGACTACAATAAGCTCTTGGTAAAACGTAGTAACATCGTAGTTTACAATAGTTTACAATCTCCCTTCGACGGTTTCCCGATCTCGCAAAAAATCTCTGTGTCTATTACGTGGTTACACGCTCGAATCGAATTTCCCGCGCTTTTTAACCGTTTATTCTTCCTCGGATAAAAAATTATCACTCGAATTCGTTATTCGAATATTTCCATCGATCGTTGATCGATCGACGAGCGGACGCTAACAAACTGGTCACTTACAAGAAAAAACTAGCCTCTCGTCGATCTCTCGATCGATCGATGCTCTCCGGAAGGGAAATTTCGATTCCAACGTTCACAATTGTCTCTCTCATTCATTCGCGATCATTCGCTCTCTCACGAAAACAACGGCATTCACGCATCGAGTGTCTCTGTGTGTACGTGTGTCTGTGTGTCATTCACTAATGAATACGTAAGTGTAAACAATAAATAATGCTTCTTTATTTTCTTCTTTACTCGCGTTTTAATCTATGATCCTTTGGTATGTCCACGCGAAGATAAATCTTCGACCTCTCCGGTTCATCGAGAGGAATTAAAAAGGAAACGCCGCCTAAGGATCTTCTCGATCCAGCCTCAATTTTTCGTTTTCACGCAATGCGTCCGTTCACGCTCGTTTCCGCTCGAACGAGTCTCCTCTCGGTTTCTCTTTAAATTCTAAAAAGGAGCCTTCCACCTAAAAATCCATCCCCTCCGTTCGCGAAGAACCTTTTACATCGTTCATCAGTTGGATGCCGTCACGACCAAACCTCCTCGTATTATAATAAATATAATAATGTATACTTGCTTTTGCACTTGTATTTTACATTATTTCATCTCTGATTAACTAATCGATACCTTATTGTCGTACGAACCGTTCGCTTGTTCTTATACCTCTTTCTTCCCCAAGATCTTACTTCTACTTGCGATTTGCGGTCGCGTCTCTGTCTAGAGCAAGTCAAAATAAGATCTGAATACGCACACGCGTTGCTGTTCCATTCTTCTGCACTCCATTCTTAACAGCCCCAAACGTTTTTGCTCTCATAACTATTCGCTTCTTCAGATTCGACCTTCAAATAGTCTGTTTACTGTCAAAAATTGGTATTGTAGAGGATGAAAAACTTATTCGAGGTTTAACAAAATGGAGGCCATACTTGGACAGCCATAACAAATTTTAAATAATCAACACTGCACATTGTGCTTAACTACATTGTACATTCTACTACATTGTACTTAAACATCATTTCAACTTGAGATTAAAATATACAACATCGACAAACAACATAGGTCTTGGACTTAGATTTTGAATGCTGAAATATCAACATCATAATCGAAACATTGTCAAACATAATTTATAGAGAAACTTATAATGAAGTGTATAATTTTTCATACCCTTAGGGAATTGTAGCAACCATCATGAACATGAAACATTATAAGAAACTCAAGAATAAGTGTATAATTTTTCATCCCCTTAGGGAATTGTAGCAAACATTATGAACATGAAACATTATAAGAAACTCAAGAATAAGTGTATAATTTTTCATCCCCTTAGGGAATTATAGCAAACATCATGAACATGAAATATCATAAGAAATTCAAGAATGAGTGTATAATTTTTCATCCCCTTAGGGAATTGTAGCAAACATCATGAACATGAAACATTATAAGAAACTCAAGAATAAGTGTATAATTTTTCATCCCCTTAGGGAATTGTAGCAAACATTATGAACATGAAACATTATAAGAAACTCAAGAATAAGTGTATAATTTTTCATCCCCTTAGGGAATTGTAGCAAACATCATGAACATGAAACATTATAAGAAACTCAAGAATAAGTGTATAATTTTTCATCCCCTTAAGAAATTGTAGCAACCATCATGAACATGAAACATCATGAGAAACTTAAGAATAAGTAACTCAGAGTCAGAATAATTTGCAGCATATAATAACAAATAGCGTATAATAGCGTTCCCATGAATATGAAACACCATTAAGAAACTCAAGAATAATTGTATAATTTTTCATCCCCTTAGGGAATGGTTGCAAACATTATGAACACTAAACATCATAAGAAACTTAAGAGTAAGTGTATAATTTTTCATCCCCTTAAGAAATTGTAGCAACCATCATGAACATGAAACATCATGAGAAACTTAAGAATAAGTAACTCAGAGTCAGAATAATTTGCAGCATATAATAACAAATAGCGTATAATAGCGTTCTGTTAAAAGCGAGTAGATAAATCGAGAGCAAAAATTAGGTGCTGAATATGGCAGAAGTACGCTTACATTGCTCAACATTCGTTCAACGTCCATCGATCAAAGTATTAAACCGTTGACGGTTTAGTTGGGCCTCGAAACATCCCGTTCGAAAATTTGTTTTCGTTTCTATCGATTTAAAACTCGCGCGCGCGCAACTCGCGTGGTTGCAATATAAAAAAACGCGTATACACACACGGACCCGAAATAGATTCTCCTTAGTCTCTACGGTTTTTTTTCCCACCTTATCGTTATTATTATTTTCTGCATTTAATATATTTATTTATATATTTATAGATTTTATATTTATAATATGTTCATTCCACGTCTCGACCGTCAAAGGTTTCCACGCACCCGAACGAAAATTCACTCCGTAGTTTGTTCCTTCCCGCGCTGTTCGAGTTTTACGCCGATTCGAGACGAGGTATCGCACGTGTTACATAAATAGATCATCGAATACTTCTGTTTCTCTGTAAACCCTCCGCTTTTGAATTTTCGCGCGCTTCACGGCGGCGCTAGTTTAAACAACCAATCGTCGATCGATCGACTCCGGGATCGATCGACG